GGGGGCTCTGGGTAATAGAGCCAGGATAAAAGGATGGGTAAAGATTTTTTAATCTAGAGGAAACCAGAGGGGAAATGAGGAAAAGAAAACAAGAGATTTTGGTGGAGGATATATGTGTATACCTTGTCAAATGGAGAATCTTTTCAATATTGCAGTATTTTTCTGAAAATGAGAATCTGACAGCTGTAGGATTTTTTAAATGAACAGAAGACTTCCTTACCTAACAGCTACCAGGAGTAAGCTTTCTATCTTTAGTACAGCTCAACTTGTGCTGTGAACCAATTATACCAAAGAAAAATTGTCAGCCAAGCATTCTGGCCATTCTGCCTATAATCCCACCAGGTTTGGCTCAATTTGAGGCTACCATCAGGCACCCACAGGCTGTCTTTGAACCACAATCCTCCTGTTTCTGCCTCAGGAATGCTAGGTTGTAAGAATGAGTCATCATGCCTAGCTCATAGTAGGTATAGAAACACACTTGCAAGTATACACATTTAATCCCAGCAATCAGCAAGTAGAGACCAGCATAGTCTAGGTGGAGTGGGGCTACATAATGAAAGCCTGTATTTGAAAAAAAAAAAGAAAGAAAGAAAGAAAAAACAAATGTTTTTGAGGGTACTCTGGGTAATTGTTAGTGACCCTATGTAAAAACAAAACAAAAAACAAAAATGGGTTGTAAGAGCTAAGAAACTTGAAATCTGATACTGCTCCTACCTTGGACCAAGATTTGCTCTAATATAGGGCATTTGAGGATTAGCGCACTATAAGGAAACTTGCAACCCAAGCAAGATCATAAGAATTACAGTAGAGCTAGAAAAGGACAAGAAACAATGACTTGGATAACCTGGTAATTTTAAGCTAGGAAGAGTACGAAGATGGCCAAGAGATCAATTTGGTCTTTAGGGCAAACAAGACATTTGACTGGTTATCCAGAAAAAAAAAGTAGAACCACATTTTTCCCAGCTGGATGTGGTACCTGTGTGTCTAGCCTCAGAGGAGGATCAGTTGAACCATGGAATTCCAGAACGTGCTATGATTTTGTGGAACTCCATGCAGACAAAATAAAGATGTCCTACAGTAAAAGCAGCTCTAAAATCTGGAGGTATATAGCTAGGTTGACAGTGAGACTTGCTTGCCAACATGCAAAAAGCCCTAGGTTCGATCCCCTGTATTACAGAAAAATTGCTGTAGTGTACACTTGTACTCCCAGCACACAGGTGGCAAAGCAGGAAAATCTACTGCAGGTTAAGCCAGTCTGGGCTCCCTGACTTTAAAAAGATGGGGAAAAGTACAAGATCACCTTCAGATATACATATTTCAAGGCAAGACTGGGCTACACAGACAGACTGTCAAAAAAAAAAAAAAAATCCAGCTCTACAATTTACAATCTTCTATTTTAAAGGCAGGGAGTCTATGCAGCCCTGCTGGCCTGGAACTCAAAATCTCTGCCTCCACCTCCTCAGTGCTGGGCCTATTAGCATGTACCACCAAGCCTGACAGAGCTCATCTTTTATTGCACACAAAGAGGAAAGCAAAACATGCTTAAAACTCTTAACACATATGATGGAGGCCATTTTGAAGCCAACATTTTCTAATGCTATGATAGAAAAGTTCAATGTGGAACCTGATTTCATTTGCATTGTTGGCATTCAGGATATTACATCACTTGGTAAATGGTGTGAAAGCAATAATATTCCCATTCACATAGATGGCTACATCAGAAATAAGTAGATGGGAGATATAAAGAAATTGTGCATCCATGGCCAGGTAGTAAGACCAATGAAAATGCTTTCATCCATGATTTCAACCAGCTGGTTGTTACCAACTACCTGTGTGTGCTGAAAAGGAGAGCTTCCAGGGTAGCTGAAAGCATATACTAAGCATTTTCTACTTCTCCAGCAGTATGGCAAAGAGGATGATTATGTTAATAGGTCAGCTTCATAGGAAAAAGTCAGCTCATTTTTCCCCAGAAAACCCAGGATATTGGCAGGCAGGGGAATTATGACCCAATTTTATTGTTGTTTCTTTCCCTGACCCTCCAAGGAGGACAGAAAGTTGTTTTATTTTTGACTTGTACAAAAATAAGTTATTTCCCAGTGATGAGCTATCCTCTGGGTGTTTTATACAGTTCTCCTAAGCACAAAGTGGCCTCCATTCCAAATACAAGCTGACAGGTGACATCTGTTCTCAGGGCACTAGGGACTGAGCTGTTGTGACTTCTATGGAGACTTACCTGGCTGTTGGAAGTCACTACATTATCTTGTTTATTATTTGTCATAAGTTACCAGTAAAGATAATTATTCATAGGTGTATAAAATCTAGAGCCAAAAAGATCTTCATGCATTAAGGGGTAAACCAAACTATGTGTTAAAGATTGTATACTACTACTGACAATTATACAATGTCATGCAATGTCACATGCTATTGTGAAATGACTATCAGAAGGAGTATTATGTTACACCATATGAAACAAGTCAGTACCTCATTGGCACAAGGGTACACATTCAATTATCTATGTGTTGTGGTGATATATTAAGTAAATCCCTTGTACCTTATCTTGTATATTTAAGAAATGGAATTATTCCATTATTCACATGCAGAATTAAAATGTTGGAAGTTACCTAAGTGGGGAGCATATGAAGATTTACATAGTGATACCTAACTTTTCAGCTAACCTCACTTCTCAATAATACGTGTCAATTTTATGACATGGTCTATTTGGGATCCAGTAGAGACTTAGAAACAGGATGTAGGTGATACTGACAAACACAAGAAACACAAAATGAAACTAACTACTTGCCATATAGAATGGAAGTTTGAGAGGCATAGTGATATTTGTAGAATTCTAAAATAGTCAAGAATTCTTATAGTTGTTAAGCATTATAAATGAGCTGGTCTACTATATATAAACCAATAATTTCAGTGATCACACCTTGACTACAGCATAATAAAAAAAATCCAATTTAGTGTTTGAAAAGAAAGAGGAAAAAGGTAATTGTATGACAATAGGGTGTAGAATAACGTTAGAGGTGACAATTTGGAGTAAATGTGTCATTTGACAGCATTTTTGTGCTTCATAAGAAAAAGAATTCTAAAAGCAGTATAGAACACACAATCACAAGGCTGCAAAACAGTGAATAAGCCTGAGCTGCTGAAAAACCGCAGCCAATCAATGTTGAGATTTCAGTTCCCACTCTGGGTTAATGGTCGAGGCAGTCCATTCATAATGTTAAATATAACAATGGATTGAAAATATTGTAGTAGAACTTATTTTCACATATTTATTTTGGCAAATTAAAACTAACTTTACAAATCCAACACTCATATTAGTCAATCTTGGGGCTTATATTTCCTTTACTCATTAAGATTGCCATTTAAGCTGGACATAATGGATTTAAGACTAAAAACAAATTGACTGGAATTTATATTCATAACATACTAATTACTGCAGCTGATTTTAAAGGTAATCTGCTATTTCTTTAAAAAATATTTGCAAGGTATCTTTTAGGATCTAAAAATTCTCAGTATATCATAGGTGGTGATTCAAGGAAAACCAAAAATACCTAAATTTTGCAGGCATTCAAATGAGTGTGCTCTGGAGAAATTAATAGATGAGTAGATGGATAAAGGGGGAAAAAGATTTTATCAATTAAAAATATGGCGAGGTAACTATTTCTAGTGGGAGCTAAGACCTAAAATCTAAAAGGGTAACATCCCAAAGGTGTGTACCTGATAATCTGACACTAGGAAATACCTTATTGAAGCAACTGAAGCAACAGACATTTCATATATACTTAACATGCAGAAGAAACCTACCGCTCAACAAGGACACCATATTTAAAGGCACACAAAACACCAAATCAGGTCAACAAATTACCCTATTTCAAGAAGCAGATATCTACCGGTATAAGATGATGATCTACCAATATTGACAACCCCTTCGTTTCCATTACTGGGTTTAGTCAATAACTTTAAACTGACACTTTGCACCATGTATTATCTTAAGTAATGATGAGTTTCTAATTAGAGGGCTTGCTGGAGTAGTTCTCTTTTGCACCAAAATTAAGAGTGTTAGTAGTTGTGGGCTTCCTATGGCATTTCTGAGGGAGAAGCACCATTAGGGTTTCTTAACTCCAAATGTAGCACCTGTGCATATGAAAAGAATCAAGTATTTAAAAGAAAGTTCTCTTTGTTCTAACATTTTCTTGTTTGGGTAATCAATCAGCAAGGGAAAAACAATGAAACCTAGTTTCCTGTGATCTACAACCTACACAATTATGAAAGAAGTTTGAGTTACCATCCACCTAAACTCTGTAGGTTAAGATTAACAAATAATTTACCTCTTAGTGGACAAACCATGTTTACAGTACCAATTTTACTTTTGGACTTGGGGCTACAAGGAGAATCCCACCCCCACCCCCCAAAATAGTTCCATAGTATATTTTTTGTAGCTCCATTATCAGACTATTTGGGGTACAAAATCTAACTTTTTGCTTTATGACCTTGAAACATTGGAGGTATTAGACTCATCTGAATCCTATATTCTCCCATCTCCTTCTGCAAACATCTTTAATCAGTTATACTTAAAAGACTGGGAAGGAAATTATCTGAGGTCACTGTTAATAAAAGAGAAGAGACTATTTTTAAGAAATAGGTAATCAATATTGATTTCCAATTTTAGAGACCCTATTTTATAAGTAGATAACACAATGAGGAAGGGCACATTAAGAACATAAACCATATATTATTTGAAAATATACTGCAGTTAACAAAATGGAACTCTACACAGCAAGAATAAATGACTTCTCTTGTATGCAAATATGCACAAATAGACAATATGAATCTACACTACTTCAAGTTACTTTTAAAAATAGAAAGTGCATTTAAAATATATTTACAGTATATGGACAGCCTCCAACCATCACTACCAATAAAGAATTATTTAATACAGGAGGAATATCTGAAGAAAAAAGCATTTCATTGGTTTATTTCCAGAAAATATGCAGACTTAATGGCAATGATTGGAAGGTGCTGGAACAACGGCACCAAGAAAGAATAATTCAGCTTATTTTGATGTGTTGATGTGGTTAAGCACCAGGAGCTGTGTAGAGCTAACACTGTCTTGATTTTTACGTTGTAGAACATAAACCAGTTAAAACCTTTAAAAATGACGTTTCATAGTAAATGAACTTAATTTAAAGCACCAAACTGAGTGATTCTATCAAGGTTAATACCTAACCAAACATTTCTTTATGTACTTAAACTATACCTTTTTTTTTGCTGAAAATGTGCACCTTTAACCAATTGTCAAAATATAGTCACAGTTGCGCACCCACCCCATTTTTTGAAATTTTACCTCAGCGTTGAAATGGGTGAGATGAACAGAGTAAACGACAGCATGACTTTCTTTTGAACAGCACCGTAAAAAATACACTGCAGTAGCAAATGCATCAGGAAAGGGAGGAAGGCTTCAGACCCAGTGGTTATAGGGTCCAGCCACATGTGTGAGAGCATAAGGGGACACGGTGACAACGTTGTCATGGGTTAATGTTACTGTTTGACGAGAGGGAATTTGATACAGTTCATTTACTCCTCCAGACAATTTAGCACCCTCAGTGTCTGCCTGGTCTTTCTGGTGTGAGGTCTTTATTTTCTTATTCTTAAATTCTCTGGCTTCATACTTAATCCTATTCAGTTCAAAACCATGTTGGGGCTCATTCAGGTTTTTGTGCTGGTAGAATACAAGAGATATGCGAGTGGGCCAACAGCGGTTGGGAACCAGCACAGCAGTAGTAGCATGAAGCTCTCTCCTGGCACACTCAATCAACACAGAGCCATGAGTAGGTGCTATCGCCACACCACCAATATTAGGATCAAAGTAGACATGCTCACTGTCTGACCAATACTCGTCAAATTTGGGAATATCATCCTCATCAGAGGATAGGTCATCTGAGGGGTCTTCATCTGATAGAGGTTCATCTACATCAGAGTGCTGCTCATCTTCTTCCACTTGACAGGAACTGAGTTCATGAGGAGAGGGGAGGAATGGGGGCTGCTGGTTTGGCTGATTAGAAGTTAGCTGCTCAGGTGGACTAGTGAGGGTCTCAGAATAAATGGGGGTACCAGCTATGGGAAGAGACAAGGTGAGAAGAGCAGTGACTTCACCAGGCTGTGCAATTCCAGAGCATTCCCCAGAAGCTGCATTAGCACCACTGTGTGCTCCAGAAGGCATTGTGCAGTGGAGAATGCTACTTTTTTCTGAAAACCCAGATGGGGCTGTTTGATTGTACATACACATAGCTGTTTTCATGGAGGAAGCCTCCAGGGGCCAGAAGATTGGAGACAGGTCTTTCTCATTCACTGGTTGAGGAATGGATGGGGCTGATGAATAGCATTTAGTGTCGTCTGAACCTTAGAAGATAAAAATGGGTTTAGTTTGAATTTTGATTACACATTGCACTGTCTCACTATTAGTCACTAAAGAGAAAATAATGATAAATGTGGCACTTGTTGTTAAAAAAGTGCTATTTTTTTAAATTTGATTTTAAAATCTGGTTGCTTTTTTTTTTTTTTTTCGGTCTTTTTAAGACAGGGTCTCCCTGTAGCCCCAGCTGTCCTGGAACTCACTATGCAGATCAGGCTGGCCTTGAACTCACAGAGATCCGCCTGCCTCTGCCTCCCTCCAAGTGCTGGGATTAAAGGTGTGCGCCACCACACCCGGCGGTTTTAAAATTTGTTTTTTATGTATGTGTGCATGTATGTAAGTGCATCGTGTCATGTAATGCCCGGAGGTCAGAAGAGGATGTTGGATCACCTAAAACTGGAGTGTTGAGGATCAGACCCCTATTGGTTCCAATAATTTCATTTTTCTTTTTTAAAAATATTTTATTTATTATTTTTATTTTATGTGTATGAGTGTATTGCCGACATGTATGTGAGTGCTGGGAATCGAACCCAGGTCCTCTGCAAGAGCAATCAGTGCTCTTAATCGCTGAGCCATCTCTCTAGCCCCATAATCATTTTTAAAAAAGGAAAATAGGTCAGCCATGGAGGCACATGCCTATCCCAGCCTTTGGGGAGGTAGACAGAAGGAACAGGAGTTCAACATCAAACTCAGCTTATAAAATAAATGAATGCCTATGCTATATGGAACACTTACGAAAATAAAATGCTTTATGAAACACTTCTGGGTAATGACCTCAAAAGAATAACCTCTTCTTTCCCTTCACATGAGGCAGATACTTCATTACTCCCATGTTGTTAAGAGTGTGTAATTTAGCTTGAGGTAACCCAAGAAGGCTAAATCAGACAGAAACCATCCACTTGGGCAAAGTAGTAAATTTTAGGATGAAGACAAAGCAATGTAAAGCAGCCAACTTCTGAAACAGTCATCTAAACATAAACTTGACCAGCACCAGAAGATCAGCAGTTCTTTTCTCAGGATGACACAGCAGAGATACTGTAATACTTAATCCTGCAGAGAACTTCTGTAAAATTATTTGTGACAGTTCCTATCTTAGAGTGTCAGGACAACTGTAGTGTGGAAGTATATATGGCACATTCTAGGTTGTTCTTCCCAACCTTATTTGTTTATAACTGTTCCAAATGCATTCTTTCCTTTGAGCTTAGAATTGAGCCTAGGGCTTCATAGTGGCAATAAACTGTATCCCTGTTCTGCTAAATCTTTTCTAGCATTTTATAAATACATGCCAATTAAAGGTTACATTCTAACACTATACCCAACAATACACCAATCTTCTACTTTTGAATCAGTATAAATTCATGATGTTCATTTTCCAGTAGTCTCCTGTGAGAATTAGATATCAGGCAGAATTATGTAAGAAAAGCCTAGAACATCCTATAGTAATAGAAGCTATCAAAGGCACTCAAATCTGTGCCTTGAGAAGTTTCTATAGGGGCTGGAGAGATGGCTCAGGGATTAAGAGCATTGTCTGCTCTTGCAGAGACCATATGAAGGCTAACAAACCTCAGGAGCAGGGGATCCCACCTGCTCATCTGTTTCAGATACATAAAATTTTAGAGGGGATGGAGGACAACTGCTCTTCAGGGACCCAAGTTTGGTTCCCAGCACTCACAAATGGGAACATGTGGGGCTGGAGAGATGTCTCATGGGCTAAGAGCCCTGGCTGCCCTTTCAGAGGGGCCAGGCTTATTCCCAGTAGCCACATGGTAGATAACAACTGTCCATAAGCCCAGATCCAGGGGAATCTTCAGTGTATTCAGATCTCTGTAGACACTGCATGACACAGGTGCACTTACAAACTTTCAGGCAATATACTCATATAAATAAAAATTTAAAAATTCACTATGTAGACCAGGCTGGCTTCAAACTCATAAATATCCACCTTCCTCTATTGCCTCTGCTGGGACTAAAGGCATGCCACCATGCCCAGCACAATAGTAGTTTTTTGTTTTTTATTTTTATTTTTAATCTAGTTAAGGAACAAAAAATTAACCATCCAACTAATAGGCACTGAAATAAATGTCATAGCATACGGGGACCAACTTGGATTCTCAAGTTGAATTAACAAAGCACTCATTCTAATGAAGCCTAATGTATCCCAGGCAAGCTTTGAACTTCTGATGCTCCTGCTGTTGAGATCAAGGTTGTACAAGATCAAGCCAAATCCAGTTCCTTATGTAGTTAAGGATGAGGACAAATTCAATTAAAACTACATAGACAAAGAACATGAATGCTTGAGAGTTTGGTAAAAACCTGTTAGAGAACCTTATAGTCAATAGATCAGCCTGACAGTACTAGACTTGGAGATCAGCACGAGCATTTCCTAAGCTACATATGGCCATCTTGACCATCTTGTTTGTTCCTTTGTGTGTTAATTACTATGTGTAAGTCATAAAGACAAACTCTACTGTGCCATCCAAAAAAAAAGGCAATATGAAACAAACCATTTAAATATGCAAATCAGATGGCTTTGCTGCCAGGTTATATTAAAAAAAAAAACTCCAGAGGTCAAATTTGATAAAGGAAATGGAAGACAAAACTTAATGATGAGACAGGATTTCATGTAGCCTAGGCTGGTTCTGAATTTCTGATCCCCTTGCCTCCTGAGAGCTGAAATTACAAGTGTGAGACACCATAGGCTGTGGTACTAGGAATCCAACTTAGTTCTTTCTGCATGCTGGGTGGCACTGTACCAAGTGAGCTACCAATCTGATCATTTAGTTTTTGAAACATTATAGATTCTGGTTCCAGTATTACTTAAACAGACCTAAGTGTATCTCATACAGTGTTGCACAGGTCCAAATTCTATCTCTGGAGTGATGGGAGTAAAGGCATGTGCTAACCATGCCTGGCTCAGAGAGATTCTTTCCTTTTACCCCTGTTGGGTGGAAGGGGTGCTGACCCAAGGTTTACTTATGTGTCCCAGGTACACTGAACCCATAATCCCCCTGCCTGAACCTCTCCTAGTGTTTGGATTACATTCATGAGTATGGCCTAAAACACATGGTTCTTTCATTCCTAAAGTTCATTATGTGTATGTAACCAATGTAGACTAACAGCTTCATCAGGGGTCCTCAAAGCCCAAAAGATCTAGGCTTGGTGGCACTTTCTGTAACAATAGTGCTTGGAATGCTGAGGCAGAAAGTGAAGCCAACTTAACCCAAGTTAGAAGAGCAAACACTATCAAAAACCTAAGAACTGGTCACACAGCCATCACTCTTACCCCTAACCTCTTCTCTAGTTCTCCTGGTTGTGTAGTCTGTTACAGCCATGTTGGGCTCCTTACCAGCTCCAAAAATTGACGGTATGTTTGTGTATGTGGATTTATGTTCTTCCTATTTCCCTGCCTGGAATGCAATTTCTCAGATATCCCCATTGTTTGCTCTCCAAAGGCTGAACCCTTCACCAATGAACATTTCTAAAAGATTCTCTTAGAGTGCCATCTCCCCATTCTTTGGCTCCAAAGGACAGTACAATTTATTCCTTTTAGACAAAGGAATAATAGGATCCTGGTATACTAGTAAACCCCTGTAACTTCAGCACAGGAGATGCTTGAGGCAGGAGTATTTAGAGTTTGAGGACAGTCTGGACTATATAGACCCACCCAAAATGTACACTGCTTCAAAATAGATGACTAAATGTAATGCAAAATTAAGGGGCAGGAGAGGTGGATCAGGAGTGAAGACCACTAGATATTGTTGCAAAGGACCCTGGTTTGGTATATAACACACAAATGGTACCTAACAGCTGCCTATCTCCAGATCCAGAAGATCTGATGCCCTCCTCTGGCCTATGTGGACATTGTATGACATGGTGCCCTTATGCAGGCAACACACTCATGCACATAAAATAATATTTAAAAATAATGGAAAGTTTAAAAGATGGATATATAGGAAACAAGTAGTAAAAGGAACCCCTTCAAATGATTGGGAAATCTCAGCCAGTTGTTTCTGGGCTGAACCCAAAGAAAGGCAAGCTGACTCTGACAGCAGTTTTGTAGGCTCTATTTGGGAGGTTATGTTGCTAAGGAAGTCACAGAATATAGGATATTATAGAATAATCTTTTTCCAAAGGACTTTTGTGCCTTTTTGAGGGTGGTTTTATTATACTTACTTAATCAGTGTACAGTCTTGACCAGACTGGTGGTGAACTCAACTGCCAGACTGACCATGAACTGATCTTATGGTCATTTTCCAATTTTCAGGACTACATAAAGACATGCACTACCATGCCTGTGTGTATGCATGTTAGAATACTGGACAATTTGCCTATCACACCTGGCAAGAAGGTTAGTTTTTAAGTTGGTGGTACTGGTGCTGTTTGCTGTCAGTGCTAGCATTGTGTATTTTATTTATTTTTTTTAAATATGGAATGCTTCACAAATTTGTATGTCATCCCTGCACAGGGGCCATACTAATCTTCCCTAGATCATTCTAATTTAGCATACGTGCTGCCAAAGTGAGCACTATATTTTATTTTATTTTTTGTCTTTCTGAGACAGGGTCTCCCTGTAGCCCTAGCTGTCCTGGAACTCACTATGTATACAAAGATCTGCCTGCCTCTCCTTCCCAAGTGCTGGGATTAAAGGCATGTGCCACCACGCCCAGCTAATATATATTTTATTTTTTTTAAAGAATGGGTCTACCTTTAGGTCCAGCTGGCTTCTATCACAAGCACAAGTAGCATTCATAGTCCTGGGATTAAAGCTGTGTGCCATCACATCTGGTTTCTTGAGTTTTTAATGTGAAGGCTCTTATGCATACCAGAATGGCTTAGGAGCACCTTCAACTTTTACCCATGTTAATTAAGCCCTGTGCTAGTGCCAGCATGTCTATCACCTTTTTCCTCTACATAGCTCCTCCTCACTAAACTGCTAGAAATCAAATCCACACAAACCCACAGTTACCTGGCTCACCTGGGGGTGGCATCAAGGCTGCTTTACTGCCGGTCATGGATGCCAAGTTTCTCTTCCCCCTGCTTGGGACTAGGTAGGTGTTCTTCTGATTACATCGACAAACTGCATCTCTGAAACGTGTCTTCCTCTTGAGGTAAGGCTTGAGGACTTGGATTGCCCCAGATTTGATCTTGGCCTCCATCCCTTCTCGAGAGCCAAATTCATCGGTGTCTGAAAGCCTGTACAGTGGGAGGACGTGGAGCTGCTCATTTTCAGGAATCACACCAAATGTGCGGTTATCTTCTCGAGTCAAAGTACAAACCTGCAGCAGGATACAATAAGGGAAAAATGGGCATTTATGCAATGCTGATGATATGAAAGTCACCTGCAAACTCATTGTATGTTTTCAATTGAGTTGAGTTAGAATCGCACTATGAAACCCTGGCTGGGCTAGAATTCTGAAATCTGCTGCCTGTGCTTTTGGACTCTTGGCATTAAAGGTGTATGCCACCATGGCTTGGAATAGACTGTTTCGTATCAAACCACCAAACTTGATTCAATACTAGTGGTTTCTCACTTCTTTGCAAACAGATGAACATAATAGTATAAAACAAACATAATTTACACACACATTCTTCCTCAATTGACTCTTGCATCCACAGCCTTTCCAACTATGAGTATTTTCATATAAACACTATTTTTTCTCTTTTTAATTTTTCCTTAAGATATTTTATATTCATGTGTATGAATGCTTTACATGTATGTATGTATGTATGTATGTAAGTGTATATGTGCATGGAATGGCCAGAGGCCAATACATTGGATCCCCTGGAACTGGAGTTACATAGGGTTATTAGGTGCTCTTAACATGAGCCATCATTCCCAACCCAACTTTTATTTGCATACTTGCCATCTTGATGTGCAATCTAAATCACTCTATTTACTGTTTACTGTTTATACTATTTGCTGTTTACTGTTTATATAATGAGTATCAGGCCAGTCTGAGTTATAGATTGAGACCTTGTCTTAAAATAATATAAAAGATCATGCTGGGCATGATGGTGTGCGCCTGTAATCCCAGCACTTGGGAGGCAAAGGCAGGTGGATATCTGGCCAGCCAGGTCTATGTACTGAGTTCCAAGCCAGCCAAGGTTACATAGTGAGACACTGTCTAAAAAAAATATAAGTATAAATATAAAAAATAAAGCTGTTGCCGGGCGTGGTGGCACACACTTTTAGTCCCAGCACTCGGGAGGCAGAAGCAGGTGGATCTCTGTGAGTTCGAGGCCAGCCTGGTCTACATAGTGAGTTCTTTAATTTAA